AGTGAGTCGATATAATAATACATTTAAAGGGAAAAGAAGTTGAAAGAGCCGCCAGATGATTGTGGACGACGTGTGGGCGTTCGTCCGTGTAAAACCAGGTGAGGTGCAATTATAAGGACATTAAAACTCGATTAGGTAGGAGCCGATTTTTTTTTTTTTTTTCAACAATTAAACCCAGATATATATACACGTTGCGCAAGTTTTTCACAAAATTTTCCAACGACGCCGTCGCACTAATCGGACTAGACGGCACCGACGCGATCAATTAAAAACCGACTAACGCTCGATTAATCAGCGCGAAATCATCGTTTTCCGCGTAACTATACACACGACAGCTTTGGTTATCTTGAATCTAGTTTTCAATTTTGAGAAGTCGTTTTCGGAAGCCGATAAGTCGATTTCATCAAGTGGCACTCACGTTAACGTTATACATGTACACATAAAGTGAACAATTAGCGTGTACGAATTTCCGAGGTAGAATATGTGTGGACCTACTTTATAAAATTCGTTAATCGGCGATGAGCGAAAAATCGAGCCAATCGGAAGAGAAGGAGGAGAGGAGAAAAAAAAAAAAAATATCCCGACGAGACGAGAGAGAAGTCATGTATACGAGCCAAAAAGAAGTCGGAGGACGACGAAGCGATAAAGAGACAAAGACGAAGAGACGCGCGTGACCTTCCTCGCGCCCGTGTATACTCTATAACACACTCGTTGTAGCCATCGCGCGCACACCCACGCGCGTATATATGTACGTTGGGGCATCTCACTCGCAGAGGGGTGCCGCGCTGCAGGGCGTGCGTGAAAAATTGACCGGTACCCATATACGACGGGGCGTAGTGATATTTTTTGTTTTGTTTCGCCGCTAGATTTTCGGAGACGCTGAGCGCATGCTACATTAAGGATACGCGGATTCATTTGTAAGATGTGCATTTTATGGGATGGGTAAAGAGAAAAAGCTATAAAAGTACTGATGCCGGCTGATGACTGTATTATTTAATGCGAAATATATATACGTATGATGGAGGGACTCAAAAGAAGAAGAAGACTAAATTACCATTGAATGGGCGAGGATGACTGCCGCACGTATAATAGAGCCGGGCAGGGACAGGTATATAACGAAGAAGCCGGTCTCCGTTACGCGTGTGGTGTGTGTACACTTCCGAGGAAACGGAATCACCTTGGTGTATACACATAAGTACGTATTTATAGTGGTAAGTATCAGAAAAAGGGGGCAAACGGAGAGAAAAAAAAAACAAAGAGAGGAGAAATATAAGAAGAAGAGCGCAACAAGGAGACGCCACTAAAGTCATTTCGGAGCTAACTTTGCTTTACACATTAACGTTTTACGACTCGCAAATACAAACGTGCGCGTGTGTAACGATACAGCGCGGGCGCTAGGGAGAGAAAGAGTTAAGAGGCGCTTGTTTCATGAATTTTCATTAAGCTCTCGAGGAGCCGAGCTAGCGAGGGAGGGAGGAGGGCGCAAGATTTATTGGTTTTCTCGGCTCTACGTCACGGCGTTACTACTTCAGGATTTCCTTTGGGAGCGCGTGTTTCGGGAGTCCGAGGAAACTTTGGCTCGGATTTATATGGATGCCGCACGAAAATTGAACGGCGTATTGGTTTTTTTCTTTTCTCGGTTCAGTCGGTCGCCTCCCTTTTTTTTCCGGGGGAGGGGTTCGGAGAAATTAACGCGATCACAAAAATTACTTTGGCCTCCGTAAAGGTGACGTTTTTTCCTGTCTTCTTTTATTTATCGTCTTAATTATTCTTGGAATTTAAGGAAGATACCGTACGAAATTCCAAACGATTCGGAGAGAGAGAGAGAGAAAAGGAAACATTGCCTTGGTTTTTAAAATATTGACAAAATATCTGAAATTACTTACGCTCGGTGATCGCGATGGTTCGGAGAAGAAAACACACCGCTCATCAACCCAAAGAGGGAGAAAGGAAAAACTGAGGAAAAAAGAAAAAAACAAGAGCTCGCAAGAAAGAGTGTCCAAAGGAATGGCGTTGGAGAAATAACTCGCAGAGGTCAATTTTGTGAATATTGATAGGGGGCATTGTTATCGCGCGCACTCGACTCAAGGCTGCGGCAGAAGCGCTTCTTTCCCCCCCCCCTCTCTCTCTCTCTCTCTCGAGAAGAGCGAGATATTATATTCTTTTTTTTCCCCCCTGATTTATGCGTGTGTATATACACTTTTCCTCCCCCTCGCTCTTTTCACGAGAGATAACTCGGTTTCATAACGCGCAAATCGCCTCAGTGTGTATAGTTTATCATCATCGATAAGCTCTCCCCCGCTTCCCCCGTCCATCGATAAAAAACCTGCGATGGTGCAGCATCGACGACACACATTTTTCGTGGATTTCATCCAGCCGGTCTGCACGTATATACGCATCAACTCCGAGATCTAAATGTGTATACACGGCAGTGCTCACAGCCGAATCAGCAAAGTGGAATTTGGAATTAAAGTTTTTCTTTTTTTTTCTTCTTTTTTTTTTGCTCCAGCATCGAAAAAACGCTACGAGCCGACCTAAAAATACCTCGATCACAAAAAAAAGACAATATCGGCGAGCGTCGTCGTCATTCGGCATATATATACTCCCGGCCGGCGAAAGGAAGGTGGATGATGATAATCTAAAAGTGCATCGGGGGAAAAGCCGCGAAGGAGGTGGGGGAGCTCCCCGAAAGTGCACGTATACAGCTCGTTTTGCGTCTCGGTCATCTCCGCGAATTTCGCGATCCCTGGCGCGCAGCCAAAAGGGAATATCCGTCCGCGCACACACCTGACCCGCGTCAACTCGAAATGACGACGACGACGAAAAAGAAAAAAAAAAGAGAGAAGAGAGAGAGAGAGGTCACATTTATAAGTTGGGTTGACGGCCTTCCCGTCCTCCCTTCTATCTCCCTCGTCGGCTGATTTTTCGCGCGCCCGAAGGTCAAGTCATTTTTAGAGGATCTCTCCCCCCCCCTCGATTTCGAACGTGCGATCGAGTCGGAGAGACGCACTTCCTTCGTGTATATACGTACATCTCGTCGTCGTCACCACGATGATTCTCTATTTTTTTTTTTTTTTTTTTTTTTTTTTTTTTTTTGCGTCTATACAGGTATTTTTTTTTTTCCATTTGTTTTCTTTCAAAACATATACAATTTTTTTTTTAATTGTGAGGAAATTCGCGTGTGTATACGGGCGCAGCTTGAATTCGAATCGCCGGCTTTGTGGAGTGTTCGATCGTCGATCAATAGGAAAAGGTCAGCCGATAAATTATTCCAAAGCTGCGCCTTTGAATATTGAGTTGTCCCTCCTCCTCCTCCACGTCGTCGTCGCCGTCGCGAGTCTATACGCCGGAGAGACATAGAGACTGTGCATATATACGTACACACTCGAAGACACGAGATTTTTTTTTTCCTTCCATTAGAAAAAAAATTTACACTCGTCACACTCGGGTTTTCAATGACTCGCCAGTGAATTTTAGCCAAAGCAGTATATACGTTGTTATATTATATTACACGCTACGAACGCCCGAGCGCTCTTTCTCACCGTATATAAACGCGGAGCGAGAAGTGAAAGTCCAGAAAATTCGACGCACCGCGGATGTGTGTGTGTGTGTGTATGCGCGTGCAAAGGAAGGGAGAAGGAAAACCATCTTCCGAGCGCGGAGAGCGGCGATTATCATCGTGAAACGAGAGAGTTGGCCTGCACTCCGTCAAGAGCCAACTCGCTCATTGTCAATGTGTATTATACATGTACAGAGTGCAGGGGTATGATTGATTGAATTAACGAGCGTCCCCTCCCTTGGGTTATTGTACCTTTGGTTACACTTTGCGGTCGTCGATCACGAGTTTCGTTGGGAAAAACTAAAGTATATATACATATATTAAACAAGTTGGAGAGAAAATTAAAATACCTTTTTTTTTACTGCCACACGCTTGGTTATAATAATTGTTGGGGCAAAGTTGAGATTACACGCGTGGATGTATAAAATAGCGGCTGAACAACAACTGGTGTCGGAGTGATTTTTCGCAATCGGGATTGTGTACTTACGTTTTGACCGACAGTGAAGCTCAAATCTCTTTTCGATTAGCCGAATCGGTCCAGTGTATGGACGAGGGGATTCCCCGGTTTATCAAAAAATTGCGGAGCCTGATGTGTATAATCTGAATTCCGAAATACCACACTCGGGACGGATAAAGCCGCGCGTACGTGACGCTATGCGTCCTTTCCCCCCAATCTAGCCTCTCGGTGTATATTACGAGTTTTTCGTTTCTCGCTGAAATATGCAACGCGCGTTACAATAAATCGAACCGAGTATACAATACGTGACTCTTCCTCCTTCTCGGCTTTCGTACTTTAAGCTTATTACGTAAAAAAATTTTTCTTCGTCTAGCCGGGTTTATATCTCTCGCTGCAACTTTATTTTTTTCCCTCCCCTCCACGATCGCCGAGGAGTGTAACAGCGGAAGGGGAAAAAATATATATAAGTGTTTTATCGGCGTTTTCGTTTGGGAAACCGAATGTACGTGTATGCTGGTTGCACGCGTGCGTATAATTTAGAAAGCCGAGTTTACATTTCTTTCTTTCTTTTTTTTTTTTCCCCCGGTCTCGGCGTTTGAATGTTACACAAATTAATGCACCGCGCGATATTGATTGATCTATGGCCCATTATTGAAGAGTAAAAAAGCCCGTTGCATCGCGCGCTTGAAAGTGGCTATACGTACAACTTTCAGTCGTAGGAAAAGTTTTTTTTTTTTTTTTTTTTTTATCAAGAAGCGCTTTTATAGACGATAAACTTTTTTACGAGGCCCGCAATCGGTGTACAATGAGCGCACGTATCTTGGGGCGTAAATTGTCGTCGTAACAACGAGAACAGACCGTGCGATCATCGAGAAAAGCAATAAATTTTGCTAATTCAACACACCCGAGTTTATATGAAAGCGTCATTTACACAACGCACGTATACACACATGTAAAAAAAAAAACAAAAAAGGTATTACTCACCTTTTCAGTGTCGTAGGTCTGTCCGAGTAGAGCGTGTCCCTTGCTGCTCCATCGGCAGGGACGCTGCTCGGCCCTCTCCGCGCAAAGGTTGTGGAAGCACGCGTGACACTCTGCGGGACAAACGGAACCACACATACAGCAACACCGTACCTCCTCCTCATCATCCAACGACACCGTACCACTATTGTTACTACCGCCACAGCTACTACTACTACTGTCAATACCGCGATCGGCACCGTTGCCAACGTTACAACTACCGCTCCTAACACTCGTACCGTTGTCCCCCTCGTCGCGCCTACCGTCGACAACGTCCTCGCCCCGATCGACGCGGTACCCGTTGTTGCTCTTCCCCGTACAACCGTTGGGACTACAATTGTTGTTGTTTTTGTTGTTGTTGTTGTTGTTGAGGGGCCCTTCAAAGTCGTCGCACCAGCAGAGCAGCCGATGAAAGGACGCTAACCTGGCGCAGCTCCTCCTACTGCCCCCGGTGCACTCGACCACCACCCTGTTGTTGTCGGGCCTCTGTTGTCGTTGTTGCAGCTTGTCGGTCAGCTGCTTGGACGAGCTGATGATCGCGTCGGCGGTGCTCAGGTGGCGCAGCCCGTTGTGCCCCAACTGTACTATGGCCACCCCGTGGAGCCGGGCGTCCCGGGACGCCGGGTCGGCCAGTTGCTCCGCGGACTCGGCGCTGGCCTGCCGCAGCATGTAGTTCTCCGAGTCAACGGCTAACAAGCGCGACATCCCCGGCGACTTGACCATCGTCTTGGACACCCCACTCGTTGTAACGCTCGGCTCATCCCCGTCCTGGAGCTGGCTGTTGTACTGCTCCTGCTTGCCGGCTTCGCTTATGCGCAGGGTCTGCTGCAGCCGGTAGCTAACTGGCTGGGCAGCTGTGCCGCGCTTCATAACGCCGGCTGTCCGCTGATGGGCCACGACACCTACGGCTCATCGATTGCGCCCCACCGTTTATATTTATACACTTTTGCTCTTTAGGTGTAATTGTGGCTCTCGGAGCGCCTGCCGCTGCTGGTCACCGAAGGCTCCTGCTCGGCCCGGTCCATCCTTACCGAGGTGCAACGACACCCGGCAAATGAAAATAAAAAAAGAGCAAGCGAACCCAGTCGTGTTCACCGCATCCTGATGATCCCTCGCACCTATGGTGGTGGAGTGTGTGTGTATCGTGTACTCCCCCACCCTCGGAGCGCGACCTTTGCCGGAGAGGCTGCGCCGCTGCAGCGGGCACTCGGCGAATCGAAACCGGTTTGGCGCCCGACCAAGATCGTATTATGTACACTCACACGCACACACCGTGGGGGCCCTCCTCCTCCTCCCTCTCGCGCGATACACACCACAGGGATATACACGTATACGTATATATTTATTATACTCGACGCACCGCGAAAAACGGAGCTCTCTAAACTCCTCCTCGACTCTTCTCCCGAGAGCTGCTCTCGATCTAGCGCGTCCTCCTACTCTCTTTCGTGTGTGCACTGCCTCCTCCTCCTCCTCCTCGTATATAATATGCGCTCACGTACGAGGCACACTCACGGATTATCGTGCATCCGTATGCGCGAGAGAGAGAGATATTATGTATATCGGTGGCCCGATGATGGCTGTATACACACACGGAAACCCCAAAACCAGTAGCTGGCTCCTTTTTCTCCCTTTTCGTCTCCTCTTTTTTTTTTTTTTTTCCTCCTCCTCGCTCTTCTTTTATCCCCCACAAGTACACGTATATGTTAACGACTCGCGCGCACACACACACACGATCCTTCTCCTCTTTTTGTTCCTCCTTCGCTCTCTCGACTGTAGACGCAAAATCTCCAAGTGTCCTCTCTATCTCTCTCTCTCTCTCTCTCTCTTTCCATACGAGAGGGCTCCTTTTTTTACTCTCTCTCTTTGCTTCCTCGTTTCTTCTCCGATTTGGTGTGCTTTTATGTGGATACACGAGCGCGCACGCACACTGCACGGATATAGGGACGGAGCACTGGCACCACCGCACTCGGCTGGCTTTCTCAAGGTCGCCGCTAATCGCCTGTCGAAAATGCCTATCTCACTCTCGCGTATACATATATATATACACGTTATATACCCTCGGAGCACGAATCGGAAAACTATCACCAAAGGTATGAACAAAAAACCTCCGATGATACCGGTTTCTTCTCAATTGTCGTTGTAATGAGATCCTTTTTTTTTTTTTTTTCCTTTCGATCGAAGCTCCAGCGCGCAAGGGTTGGCTACCGATTTACCGATTTTTTTACCATATCGTCAAAAGCAAGTGCAGTTGTGCCGAGCGTTTCTTTCTCTCTTGACGACAGCGGTCGAGCTCGTATATACACGACCGTACGTCGGCCCTGGCTGCCGGCAAGTAAAATCGATAGGGTCGGATCGAAGTGCCGGTACGGCTCTCGTTCTCTCTAGAGCCGGTCTAAACCACTTTTGCTGCTGGAACACACACACACACACACGCACACACAATTGCCTCCGGTGGTCCTCCCGAGTGCGAGTCCTTTTTCGTCCGTTTTAGGGAGAGCAGCCAACTTCCTTCCCGTTCCTTGCCCTATGTGTGGCTGACGGACTCCTGCCGACGTCCTCTTCCAGTGTACGACTGGCGCTGCCTGCCCGCTGTGCCACTAGCGCTGCCGATGCCGCCCCTCGTACTCCGTGTGTCCCCGGTTCCCCTCTTACTTTGCTCTCTCTCTCTCTCTCTCTCGTTCTTGTTCCTTGCGCAGCGCGCGTGTGTGTGTGTGTGTATGATGTGCGCGCAGTTGTGCTGGGTCTCCGCGTAATATAGGTATAGGGTTGCGACGTGTATACGGGTACTCTTAGAGATAGAGAGAAAGCGCAAGTCTTGGTGATGGTGCCCGAATGTAATACAGATGTGTGTCTGTCTGTGTGTGTGTGTGTGTATATCGTTTTGGTATATTGGTGAGGCGAGGGTGTGCTCGCGCGATGGCGTACACATGCAAGAAAGGAGCCTCGAGTGTGTTACCTCCGCTGGACCGGTCTCTCCTCCTCCAACTCCTGTTCCTGCACTCCCGGCGCTGATGCTTCCTCCTACTCTTCTCTTTTTTTTTTTTTTTTTTTTGTTTTTTTTTTTTTTTTTTTTTTCTTTCCCTCCCTAGTTTACGATTTTAATTCGAGGCATAGACGATTTACACCGGGTATCCGTATGACGATCGTTTCGGAGCACGGAGGATCGGGTTGTGCGTCCGTGTATAATTTATACACACTGTCTTTCTCTTCTTCGTCTCTGTATGGGTGGATTTCTTCGGTAGCCGAGAAAAATACACGGCGATACGATCTGCCGGCGTTTATTAACAGTGACACGGAGGATGGACCAAACCGAGATTCAGCATCTAGAAGCCATCAACGGAGGAGACTCGGGTTTCGTTTTTTTTCTTTTTTTTTTTTTTTCTTCTTTTCGTTGCCTCGTTTCTTCACGAGAGACCGGCTCCTCCGCTGCTTCGATAAGCTTCTCCGGCTCTCTCGGTGTGTGTTACACGCACACCTCTCCGGGGGAGGGGGGGGGGGCGCACACAAAGAAACGAAACGAAAGAAAGAGAGATACGAGAGCCGGAGCGGTGTGTGCGCGCCTCCAGTGGAAAATGGCAGCTTCCAAAAGGAGAGCCGGTTCCTCCTCTCTTTCTCCTGTACGCCACTTGCGACCGTGTGTTATTATACACTGTACATAATATATCGGTATACGTACGAGCCGATTTTAACTCGCGGAAAGCTCCGTGTATACTTTAACCCCCCTCTCCTCTACCTTCTATCGGTGCAGGTTTACAACGCAGCGGCGCTCGGAGATCCTTGCCGATCGGCCGATCCGTCATTTATCATCATCGGTCTCCCGTCGCTCACGCGATCTTTTTCTCTCTCTCTCTCTCTCTCTCTTTCTTTGTCTGTCCTAAAAAAGTAGGTCCCCTCCTGTGTGTGTACGTATATGTATGATGCTTTGCTCGAGGAGACGATTGTAACCGCGGCCTCTCCCCCGAGCCGTCAGCTGAGGAACTACTCCCCTCCGCGCTCGGCGGTCGCGACTCCTCTCTGTGTGGGGTACCATATATTATACACACTTTTCGTATCACGTATACATCGGTTGCACTCACACACACACACGCATCGCGTAACCTCTCGCGAGCTCTAGCTGACGACGATTTACCAAAGAGTAAAAAAAAAAAAAAAAAGAGAGGACGACCGCGCACGCGCGTTTTTTACATACACATCGCACACACGGTACAAACTCTCGTCCGTCCAAGCGCAATAAGTGCATACACACACAACATATATATATTTACATTCTACATAAAAACTAAGAGTAGATAATATTTATACCGCAGGTTGTATGAATTAAGTGTTAAAACGAGAAGAATAATAAAGGTGCAGTGTTTGATGTTGTACCTACCGATGAACTTACACATAGGTCGTGCGTAGTGTACGTACTCGGGGGAGAGGGGAGGGGGGCTCGTAGCTTTTGGGGTTAGGTAGGGGGGGGGGGGGTTGGGGTAACCTCCGCCTCGGCTTCCTCGTCGTCCCCGGGGTTCCGTGTGGCCTCTCGCGGCAGCGGCGTCGTCTCCGAGCACACAAAGAAGACAGAACGCCAAGCTTCTGCTCTGCCCGAGAGAGAGCCGCCGCTGCTGCTCTCCACACGCACGAGTGTACACTACTACCGGGCGTACTAGGGGGCGAGAGGCGCCGAGAGGGGCACGAACGAGCAGGCTCCACTTGCGCCCGTGTGCGTGCGGGGCTCTTTATATGGCACACACAGATACACAATACACGTTATACGGAGCGTAATGTAGTTGTGCCCCTCCTGCGCCGCCTCCAACGAGCTGCTCTCTCTCTCTCTCTCTTTCTCTACTATTTCGGAGTCGGAGCGCGCGTGTATATACATACATACAGCGTACAAAGTAGCGAAGCCAAAGATACAGGCGTACGCACCAACACTCGCTCGGGTGCAGCTGTTACTCTGCCGCTATATACAACGCTGTTCCGTGGCCTGCACCACCCCTTCTCTCTCCTTCGCATCTGGTTCACCCGTGTGTGTGCGCGCTCGTTACACGGCCATATTATGCATCGGTAGGTGTGCGCGTGTACGTGTATGCCCCTTTTTTTTACACCGCAAACATACACACAGAGAGATAGAAGGGGAGGGGGGGGGGTTCTGCCCGTCGCCCCTCTCCCTTCAGGGTGGGGAGTTGGGTGCAAGAACGGCATTGTATGGATGTGCAGTGCCAGCAAGTAGTGCACGTATACGTGCGGTGTGGCAGTGGAGAACGCCGGTCTCCGGCTTTCGACCGCTTTTTCCCCCTCAGCTGTTCGGGCGGCGCGGCTTTCCATAGCTTCTGGTGTGTTATACACTCGGCTTTCCGCGTCGGGCAGCCTTTTTCTTTGTCCCGCCGTCAACCATATACGTATACACCTCATTTCCACAGCTCCCTAAGTGTACCCCATTACCCCCCCCCCCTAACATCCCTTGGTCCTTTTAGTATGGGAACTCAGTTTGATAGCCGTCAATTTCATCCCTTGTATGTATATCACCCTTTCTTTGGGTGTGTGCGCGAAGAAAGAGCTGCCGGTCCCCCGGTTCATTTATCATCCCCGTCCACTGTCAACGGGCGTTATACACAAAGCTCGCGGGCACTTACTTACGTAACTCTTGGACTCCCTGGGTTTATGCCGAAAATCACGTCGACCCTTTCGCACCTCGGGTTGGGGGTGGGTGGGGTTGGAAGAGTAAAAAAAAAAAAAAAAAAGGAACATGAGTACATACAGTGAACATCGATGCATAGCGTGTGTACGCGCTTGGGGGCGCGATCCGCGAAAAATTGGTTGGCGGTGCACGGGTTCGCGAAAACGAGGAAGACGAGAAAGAGAGAGAATCGACCCTCCCGACCGCTCCGCGTATTATATACAGCAGCTATACCATCGTATATACGTATATACAGTTGCTGCCTGCCTTGTCGAAACTCACGCGTATAGGTGCAACCCATGCATATACGGGGGGAGAGAGAGCACACACACACACACACATTTTTAAAAATTTCTTTTCGCAACGCGCATGCATTTGCGAAAGTTATGACAATCATAATACGTATACGACGCGCGTCCCACCTCTCATTACGGTAGCCTATAATATCCATACATGTGTGTATATAGATACACGCGCGGCGTGACACACATAAGGCCAAAGTTTCTCTCCGCAGGGCAGCCTCTCGCGCGTACATGAAAGGCACAAGGCAGTATAAGGCTGGCTGTGTAGCTGCAGCTCGGGCTGGTTGGCAGAAAACCGAGTAGATTGGCACGTTCGCGTGCTGTATAACTAAACGTGCACGTGTCTGTGTGTGTGTGTGTGTATGCCACCACACACACGCGGGCAAAAAGGAGCTTCCCCCCTTGCCGCCACTCCACCCCCGCTCACTCGCTCGCGCAACACACGCGCGTCCACGACAGAAGAGGGGCTCCCGGCGGCCCCCTTTTTTTGCCACACACACATACACGTGACTCCCTCACAGCTGACCGGCCGGTGTGTGTTGTATATATAGCCTATCTCGGCTCGGTCGCGAGAGTTTCGGTCAATAGCCACGACACCGGGCGCGCGCTCGTTCCTCCTCTTCTTCTCGCGGTTTTGGCTCTCTCTCTCTCTCTCTCGTTGCCGGCGATGTCTATCCTCTCTCGTGTAATACGTACACACAAGCGCGAGTTGATGGTGGAGAGCTCGTGCAGCGTCCGTTTCCCCGACGCCGCTCCGCCATACTCTCTCGGCTCACCACCACCACCTCCTCCTCCTCCTCCGCCTCCTCGTGGCCTTTGCGCGAAAGCCTAGCCGGTCACGAGAGCTTGTTCCCTCCCTCCCTCCCTCCCTACCTCCCCAGGAGCGTAGCTGTACGCGCGGTCACGGCGAGACCCGATGGCTGTGGAGGAACATGGTGCCGTCTCTGCGAAATTTTCGCGTTTCGAGGCTCTGACAGCACCACCTTCCCGGTGTGCTTTGGCTGTTTCGATTGCTCCGATGGGCGTTCCATCGCGTTAAATCATCTTTTTTTTTTTTTTCCATGGGGTTCATTGGAAGGCTTTTTTTTTTGTTTCCTAAAAACTACATGGTGTGCTGGTTGTTGTACATACGTATACGCCATCGGTGGAATTTTGCTCGATTCTCGGCCCACGGATCGATAGCGAATA